GAAAAGATATTCACCAACCCCACATCTGACAGAGGACTGATCTCCAAAATATACAAAGAATTCAAGACACTAATCTCCCAAACACCAAACAATCCAATTAAAAAGTGGGGTGCAGAACTAAATAGACAATTCTCAATAGAGGAATCTAAAATGGATGAAAGACTCATAAGAAACTGTTCAACATCCTTAGCCATCAGGGAAATGACAGGGTTTCTCTGTGTAGCTTTGGAGCCTATCCTGGCACTCGCTCTGGAGACCAGGCTGGCCTTGAATTCACAGAGATCCGCCTGCCTCTGCCTCCCAAGTGCTGGGATTAAAGGCATGCACCACCAATGCCTGGCCTCCTTCTCTCATTCTTAAGCATGACTGAGTTGAAAATATTGGATGTGATGGGGTTCAAATAAATCTTCTCAGGACTCATTTTTCTGATTAATAAACACTCAATGAGCAAAGACTAAGGATTAAACACTGAGCAAAATAGAAAAGACCAAGTCCTTGTAGAAAGTTTGATAGTATAAAGTACCATGGTAGGTGTATAATACAACTCTGAGTAATTGGAAATAAATCAGAGAAAATGAATCAGGACAAGATTAAGTATGCAGCATAAAGGCAGATGAGAAATGGTAAGCTTTGATAGCATTTAAAGGTAGATTGTATAAAATGAACTGAGGTGTCATTTTATACAAAAGGGATAGATGTTAGGCTCCAAAGCTACACAGAGAAACCCTGCCTCAAACAACCAAAGGGGGGGGGGAGATCATCCAAGTGAATTCATTTACTAACATATAATTACCAAGTACCAACTTTGGAAACTCTTCTAAGCTCTGGGAACACTATAGTTGGTAATAGCCAACAAATGTCCTTCTTTCCCTGTATGCTCTATATGTGCATATGTGCAACTAAAAGAATCAGAATTATCTTGCCTACATCATCAACTCATGATTATTTTGGCCAATTGTGGGGCAAATTTTTGGGAGCATGACCAAGGAAAGAAAATATATAAGATTAGCCAAGAGATCCCAAATTCTTCTCATAACTGCTCTAAAATTAGGTATTGTTCTGCAAAAACAAGATTTTTGAACTAAACTGGATAAGAGTGAAAACTGGTTTAACCCAATAACTAAACACCAAAATTTCCACCACACCTAATTCGCTACAGGGTCTGAATCAAAAGGTAAATGGCTCTGTTTCTAAGCCTTGCAGAACTACTATCTTGCCTTACTGGCTTATAGTAAAGAGTTAATAGTATTCAGAAAACCTAACAAAATGCCTAACAGAAAATAAACATTTAACCTTACAATCTTTTAGTTATCCAATACCTTACTGACATGTCTTATCTCCTGTAAAATGGGCATAAACAGGTAGCCTGCTTTATAAGAATGACTAAACTATCTGGGCAGTGGTGTCACAGACCTTTAATCTCAGCACTCAGGAGAGAGGCAGGTGGATCTCTGTGAGTTCAAGGCCAGCGTGGTCTACAGAGCAAGTGCCAGGATAGGCTCCAAAGTTACACAGAGAAACCCTGTCTCAAAAAACCAAAACAACAAAAAGAAAAGCTGGTTGGAAACAAGTCAAGCTAAGGCCGGGGCATTCATAAGTAATAACACTCTGTGTGTAAGTATTTGGGGGCTGGGGGGGGGGCGCTCAAAAAAGTCAAAAGAGTAAAACATTACACAACACTGTTCATCTACTGTTTTATGTCAGTTTAACCCGGGTCCCTACTGACCTTTAGAAGGAAAAGGGAAATTTTACTTATCCCACACCAATATTAGGAAGAATGCAAGAATTCAATAGAGAGCTTGCCAAACTATTTGGAAGGGTGACAACATTTCTGAGGTAACATCTGAGGTTTTCCTTGTTTGGGTGTTTTGTTGCTGTTGTTTTGAGATCAGGGTTTTCAGCTTCTCAGGCCTCTCACCATGCGAATTTTGATTCAGGCGGTTCTTTGAAACAGGCTACTAGTTTACCTTGCAAACGCGAAATCCCCCAAGAGTAATCCAATCTAAGAACTTGAGCCTTTTAACCTGAGGAGGGAAAGCCTTGCCCACAACAAAAATGGTTCCTTATTGGCGTCTCACGCTCCTGAGCGTAACATCCGCCCTCTCCTTGTCACATGACCGGGAACCTACTTCCGCTACGGCTCCTGGAAGGGCCCAGTCCTGGAC